TTAAAAAAAAAACTCTCCCCAGGCATGTGGGTGTGCATGCCCAAGATCTCAAAAGGAGAAAAGAAGTGAAGGGATTGTGGTGTGGCCACCACCCTCCTCGAGAGTTATTTCTCATTTTCTGTCTCTCAGTTTCTCTCTCTCTCTGTCAAGCACATGTGCCCTATAACAAAACTCTCTTAAAAAAATTTTTTTAATTAAAATGTTCATATGAGAAGTTTAACTTCATTTTCCATCAGCAGGTGGCCGACCTGTCTATTGTAATCCACTGACAAAGCACCCTCTCCTGGAATTTACACTTTGGGTAGAAAATGTATTTTCTCAAATGATGAAGAGGAAGTGGGGTTAGAGTGACCAGGAGTCCACTTTTTCCTGTTTTTTTTTGTTTGGTTGGTTGTTTTTTTGTGGTATGGGACAGGCTTAGCCAGGTTCATTTATTTATTCATTCACACAACATTTTTCTGAGCTTTTCCAAGCAAGTTAACAGGTACTAGAATGACAGATCCTCACAACAGTGCTATAATAATACTGCTGCAGGGGCCAGCAGGTGGCATGATGGTTAAGGACACTGGACTCCTATATGGCCAACCAACCTTCAAGTCCCAGACCTGGTGACTTGCTTTCTCACTTTCTCTCTCTCTCTTTCTGTTTCTCTTGTTCTGTCCCTCTCTGGTCAAATTTAAATTAAGTAATTAATTAATTAAAAAGTTAAAACTTAGAAGAAAACAGTACTGCTGCAGGTTTGCTCCATAGAGAAAGAACATTAGCTACAGGCTTTATTTATATGTGATAGAATTCTGGGTTAAGAAACAAGTCAGTAGTCTTGCACCTGGAATTTTTTAAGTATGAAGTTAATCTTGCCCATCTGATCTGGGACCATGGTTGGAAGGACAAATACTGTATCTAAACTTTGCCTAAATGACAAGGGCAACCCAGATTGATTGGCTTCTCACCCTTGCTCTTCGGATTCTCCTGCTCCAGGGATGGACACATGGACTCTGGGGACATTTGCTCAGGCAGCTTCTCCATGGGACGAGTCCAGTCTCCAATGCTGCTCCCAGTCCAAAATGTTCTCTAAAAATTCTTCAGAACACGACACAAAGGACTGGCAGTCACTTCACGAACGGGTGAGAAAGGATATAAGGGAAATTGTAGATGCAGCGTTCCCGAGAGGCTTCCAACCTAGGAGAGGCTATCAGAAGCTGTCACTTCATGAACGGGTGAGAAAGGAGGATATAAGGGAAATTGTAGATGCAGCGTTCCCGAGAGGCTTCCAACCTAGGAGAGGCTATCAGAAGCTTTTCTTTCTCCAAGTAGGATAAGTGAAATCAACGACCCGACCGTCCCCTGCGAAGGATGCAACCAGGCTGGCAGAAACCAGACGAGGTGCCGCCCACTGTTCCAGGACACCAAGTAGGTGCGTGCTGCCTCAGCCCAACCCCACCAAGACCTCCCGCGCTCACCTCGGGTCCTTAGCTGCACACCGCTAATTGCGACAGCGCGGACCCCTCAATAGTACTCTCGCGGGCATCCGCAACGCTGAACCCCAACACTCACTCAAAGCACACTGTGCTCAGAAACAGACCAGCGGCCTCGGCCTCCAATCCGGGATGATCAAAACTTCAGAGTCCTTTGCGGGCACTTCCGGGGCCCATCTAGGCAGCTCGGAGGTCTCTTCTCGGTCGCAGGTTCTCTAAGAACCGCTAGGGAACCTGATTCAGAGAGGGTTGTAGTGCGCACTCTTCGGGCGTTTGTCCTTCCCCAAGGAGCGATTGGAGGAAGATGTGATTACCTGCCCTTCATTGCTAAGGGGCGATGGATTTACCTGCCCTTCATTCTAGAGGGCCTAGAATCTAATTTGGTCGTTTCCTTCTTTCTCATCGCCACTGTCTCCAGTGCATCCTATTTGTACTCACTCCCCTCCAATTCTGCCTGGTGTCACTAACATTCATGTCATCCCTTCCCCTTACTGATCACAGGACAGGATGACCCTGTTGGGCCAGAACTATTTACCTTCATCCCTCACCCTTTGTCACTTCACCCCAGCCCCTTCCAGCTTTATCTGTAGTATGTAAATCAACCAAACATACTTGACCAATTAGCTGAAACAGGAAGAAAAGACTTAGAGAAAGGGCCAATATCTAAACAGCCTACTAAGCCAGCTGTATAGGTTTGCCAGAGGCATACTTGATGTTGAAAGGGGGAAGGGAAAGGTTAAGCTCCTTGTTCAAAAGAGATTTCCTATTAAACTCAGAAACAACAGCTACCAGTTAGTTACAGGGCCCTTAAATTGACATTCTTTCATTCTCGCAACAATCCTATGAAATTGTTTTGTGTTTTTTGCTCAAACTAAAGCCTGGCATGTAACTACACCTATAAGGGACAATGGAGGAGACTGTAGAGATTTGTAAAACGGGGAAAAGAAAAAGACAGATGCTTGTAACTAAGACTCAGCTGTAAATGTGTAAAAATTTAGTAAACTACAAGTATCAGAGACTATTCTTTTTTTTTTTAATTGCCAGAGGGCCTGTATGCTGGCCTGGTGGAAGGGGTAGCATCCCCATCCCCAAGAGGGTATGGTCACACCACAATCTCTTCTCCATTTCTTCATCCCATAGGGACTTGGGGCATACACACGCACATCCAGTGTTTCTCTTTCAAAGATTTTAAGACCAGCAGGTAGCATGGTGGTTGAAGGTGCTAGACTCCCACATAACTGATCAGAGTTCGAGTCCCAGACCTGGTGGCTTGCTTTCTCATTTTCCCTCTCTCTCTCTTTCACCTCTCTGGTCAAATTAAAGTAAATAAATAATTTGGGGTTCTATTCCCAGACCTACCTTAAACAGTCTTTTTTAAAAAGAATTTTTTTTTATTTGCTATATAATTTGAACATGAGAGATAGCTGTCCATTTGCTGACACCATCAGGGAGCACCAGTTACGAAGCAGTCCCTATCAGTCCAGGAAACTTGATCTTTTCTCAAGTCATGCTATGGTTCGGATCTTTTGCCCCTGAAAGTTTCATGCTTTAGAATTCAGTGCGCAGTGTAATGGCACTGGGAGGCAATGAGACCTTTTAAGAGGTGAGACATAGTAGGCAGTGACTGGATCACAGAGACACTGCCTTTGTGAATGGATTAACTCTGTATTGAGACTGGGTGAGTTCTCAGCCTCATAAGGGGTTAGTTCTTCCAAGAACAGGTTGTTTCAAAGGAAAAATGGCTTCTTCTGGGTTTCTCTCTTCCTGCATGTGTCTGCCAGTCTCTGCTTCTATCTACCATGTTGGGTCATAATACCAGAGGCTGGTCTGATGCTGGTCCCACATCTCTGGGTTTTCTGGCCACCAGAAATGTAGACCAAATAAACCTCCACTTTTTATAAATCACCCAATCTTATGTATTTCTGTTAGCAACACAATAGCAGACTAAGACAAATCACATGGTACATTTTCAAAATCCAAGGTATCCTTTTCCAAGCAATATTAGTCTTGTTAAATATTTGCTCATTCACATTTTAAAAATTTTATACTATTGAATTTACTGGGTTTGATTAGTATTTGCATTAATATTTTAGCACTTAATATGACCAGTATCTTTTATACTATTTCATTTAAACTTTCAGTAATAATGCTATTACTGGGACCAGCAGTTAGTGTAATGGCTATGTCGCTGAACTCCCATGTAGCCGACCACAGTTCAAGTCCTGGACCCGGTGGCTTAAACTCATGCTGGGTGCATGTGCATGCGTGTCCAAGATCCCGAGAGGAGAATGGAGAAGGGACTGCGGCGTGGCCATCCCCCAGGGGGTGATTTCTCACTTCCTGTCTCTCTGTCTCTTTCTGGCGAGCGCACGTGCCCTGTATCAAAAGCCTCTCCAAATAAAAAAATAAATGCTATTACTGTGCAGACAAGGAAACTAGAAAGGTTAAATACAATTTCCAAAAGCTCCTAGATAATAAACAGTAAAGCTCAAATATATTCAATAGATACGTCTAATTCCAGTCATTGCTTGGAGTCCTACTCTAACCTATGGTCATCTTTATTCATTGGACAGCTTAAGTCATTTGATTTGGTTAACTGTACCCACTGGCTAGCATTGATTATCGGAATGCCAAGTTATTTATCACTGAATGAATAAATGAGGTTATTTTTAGATGTAGAAAACCTCACTGTGCCTTGAAGACTCCCTTAGGGGGCTCCTCTGAACTTTGTTTTTAAACCTCTCTTCAGCTGCCCACTCCCTATTTCCTAGGGTAACACATTTCTTCAGGGAGCTCACCTGTTACTTTGAAAATGATGTTTTCTCTACCTCTGACCTGTTATCCGTTTTGCCTAAAACATTCTCCTTGTTCCTCTTCCATTATTTCCCACCTTTATGTTAATATTTTACCTCTATCTACCCTTTTATTCAATGCAAGTCTAGTAATTTAACTTTCTTCTTCCTATAATGTTTTCCATCATTGATATACCAGAAGTGATGGTAAATTTTGCTAAGGATAAACATTCATCAGCAAGTCCCCATTAGCAGAAAAATTATGAGCAAATCGGAAATGGAAATATAAACCTGGTGACGAAGCAGGAGTATTTTGGCAAATCCATACACCTGGCCCAGTTGGATATTGGCTGTTTCTCAATTTTTCTTGGCATTTGGTGAATTTGGGAGCTTTGACCTCTATGTCATTCTCGAAATTTAAGGGTTCAGTCACAGTGACACACACAGCTAAGGTATGGCTGGGTCCTATTCCCAGCCCAACCTCAGTAGATCAGGTGTAGTAGTGCATGCTTATAGCCTTGAGACTGCACTTCTTGTCTGCACAGTAACAGCATTATAAAAGTTAGATAAGATTAAAAAAAAGTCATAATAAACGCTCAAAAGCTATTAATACAAACACTAAAAGAAAAATGAAAGTAAGTTTGACAGTTTTAAATCTGTCAGTTTTATGGGAATGAGCAAATCGGTTGTCAGAAAAGTTGTAAGGCATTTTTGCATAGAAAAAAAATGTCAAGACTTCTCAGATGACCCAATATTTAGCAGTAGAAGACTAACATTGCCTGAGGAGCGATACCCTGTATTTGGAGAATTTACATATATGAATTGTCTGGTTTTGTGTCGCTAACAGAAATATACAAGACTGGGTGATTTACAGAGAAGTTAAGTTTATTTGGTTCTTAATTCGGGTGACTGCAAAGTTCAAAGGTGTGGGGCTAATAATGAGCCAGAGAACCATAATATAGTGAGATCCTGTCAAAAATCTCTCATGGGCCAGCAGATGGCATGGTGGTTACATCACTGGATTCCCACATAGCCGACTGCAGTTCAAGTCTCAGACCCAGCAGCTTGAAATTCACCCCGGGCGTGTGTATGTGTATGCCCAAGATCCCAGGAGAATGGAGAAGGGATTGCAGTGTGGCCATACTCCTGGGGAGTGATTTCTCACTTTTCCTCTCACTGTCTCTCTTTCTCTCCAGTGAGCACATGCACCCTAAGGCAAAACCTCCTTAAAAAAAAAAAATCTCTGGGACCAGTAGATAGCATAATGGTTACATTGCTGGATTCTCAAGTCTCGAACTTGGTGGCTTAAAACTCACACCGGGTACATGTGCATGTGTGCCCAGAATCCCAAGAGAATGAAAGGATGGCAGTATGGCCATCCTCCCTGGAGGATGGTTTGCTTTCTGTCTGTCTCTCTGGCGAGCACATGTACCCTATACCAAAATCTCTTTAAAAAAACAAACAAAAACCTCTCATAAGGAAAATTAAAATAAAAACTGTCTAAATCAAGAAGGGGGTATGACTAGCTCCTATAAAAGGTCAGGATATTCTCTCCTAGTACTTCAGAACACACTGAGAGCATTTAGGATCAGTTGAAAAATGACAAGATTCAATATTGATTCATTGGGATATAACAGGGAATGAAAAGCTACTTAAAAACAAAAAACGTCCTGGGTCCATCAGGTGGCATGGAGGTTGGAAGTTAAGGCAGTTGGAAGTTAAGACCTCACATGACCAGATGCGTAGTCTCAGACCTAGTGTTGGAAATCATGCCAGACATGTGTGCATGTGCATGCCTGAAGTCCCAAAAGAATGGAGAAGAAATTGCAGCATGGCCATCCACCCTTCCACTATTAATTTGCCATTAATGTGTGATCCTAACAAGTTCTTTAATACCTATATTCGTCTGTTCCTCTATAAAATGAAGCTCCCTTGCAGGCTTGCTTTGAAAATTAGATTTGAATAGGTATATACCTACATACGCATGTAGGTAGGTGGAGAGATAGAAGACAGATAAAATAATTTAAGTCTCTACTATGAAATTTATATGTCCCTTTTCCTTTCAAGACCAAAGGGAGTATGAACACAAACTCATATTATACTGAACCAGTATCTTTTTTGTAGTTTTTTTGCTATAGGATGCATGCAGAGAGACATTTTCCCCGAAGGGAGATGGCCATACCACAATCCCTTCTCCAGTCTCTTCTTGGGATTTTGGGCATCCACACACATGCACCTGGTTTGATTTTAAAACCTCCAAGTCTGGGAGTCAAACCATGAAGCCAGCCATATGGGACCCAGCGCCTTAATCTGCACACCACTTGCTGACCTAGACCAATATGTATTTAAAGAGGCAAGTTAGGGTCAGCTGGTCGCATAGCAGTTAAAGTGGCTGGATCCCACATGGCTGACTGCATATTCAAACTCCAGGCCCAGTGCCTTGAAAAACATGCCAGGTGTGTGTGCAGTATGACCAAAATTCCAAAAGGAGGGAGAAATGGATGAGAAGGGACTCTAGTATTTCCATCTCACATGGAGGGGGAGAGGGTCCTTCTCACTTTCCTTCTATCTCTGTCTCTCCTGCACTCCGGCAAATTTCAAAAAAGAAAAATGTATTCCTCCTAAATCTACTAAACCTCAGGCTATTTACATTTATGTACCAATGATGTCCCAACTGAATAACCCTTTAAATCCTAAAATTCCACTTTTATTCTAGAAGTCTGTGGAAAAGTAAGCTTTGCATTAATACAAAAGAGTGATCTACTCTTCTTATCATGAAGCAAGTTTCAGAGGAGAACTGAGCTTCAGACAGGAAGGTGATTCCAAGGTTCCCAAATGCTTCCGCTTGAGGCCTTCGGATATGGTCTGAAACAGATTCTCAAGAGTATCAACACACATCTTTATTCAAATGGAAGTACAAAAGCACATTCCTAAAGCCAAATGCATACATGTGATTTTTACATATCCTATTTAGGGATTACTTATCCTTTTCCATAGTCAGAAGAAAGGACTACTGGTCTCTATAAGGGTATACATGTTTGAAAGAAAAAAAAAAAACATGCATATTTTTCATTTGCTTTTACATTTAGCTCAATTCATCTGTATCAACTTTATTTAGATTCCTAAGTTGCCCTGATGAGAGCTTATGCTTGGTGATTGCAAAGAAGTAAAATACAGTGGCAGAACTATCCTAGAGGTTAGCCACAAGAGGCCTATAGAGTGAACAATAAATTTTTATATATTTGTGGAGGATCCTTAGTGAAATAACTCCTGAATTATGGAAATCTCGAGTGCTGGATTGGCAAATAGAATTTTAAAGCATGTCTTATTCACAAAATGTTATTAAGCTTAAGGTGGAAATATAATAAAATGTTTTGACATCACCTAAAGAATCATGAACTCTTGCTAAGTACGTGATAGTGACACCGAACTCTAAAGTCAACATCTATGATCACTTTTACTAATCAAAAAAGCATGTTATTTTATGTTATTTTGTACTCTATTAAAATACAAAAATGTGATAATGAATAAACAATTATACACAAAGCTCCCATACTTCAAATACTTTCCTGAATTGATGAGGGGAGATTTGGAGAAAGGGGGAATGGCACAGATCCAAACAGATAAAGAAGCAATCCTAATGGTTAAAATTTTAACAAGAACAGAACTGCCACTTTTTTAAAAATACTGTCTCTAGAGATGTTACATACGAACAGCACATCTTTGTTGTAAGGCTGCATATCCTTATGAAGCTAATTTTTTCATATGTTTGCACTATCAAAAGCAGACCTGAGCATTCTGCTGGCCTTTGACAGAGGTATATAAAAGAATTCTACACATTCTACATGCAAAATAGGCACTGAGTGTATCCAGGCCACCAGGAGTCTTGTTGGCTTCCTGATGTCCTTATCATCTCTCTTAGAGGGCTGTGGATGCAGATAAGACAGCTAAAAACCTAGACATCATTTGGAAGTGTTTAGCTGCCTGCCACAAACTCATGGGAAACAGAATCCCTCATACTTAAGAATGAGATGGATGTGGAAATCCAATTCTTTTAAAAGAAGATGTTTTGCTTTAGAAAAGACAGCAGACCAGCAACATTAAGTAGGAACGGCATACTTGCTGGTAAAAAACTTAAAACTAGGAAGCCATCATAGGAAGGTGCTTAAGCAACTGGAGAAATCAACAGGAATCCAAGTGTGCGGCTATACAGAAATACACATAGGGTCCTTAGAAAAGAGCAGCCCAAAGAGTTTGTTTTAGAGGGAACTTGGGCTGAGAATAATAGAAAAGTAAAATGAGCTACTTCCCAGAAGTTGATGTGTTTGAACACTGGTGCATTAACAATACCTTTAACAATTTCTTAGGGAAGCTGTGAACAACTAGAACCAATTTCAGAAAAAATAACATGTGTATAGGCCATATTAAAATTAAAATAGCTTAAATGAGTTCTATAAATAAAATATGCACATCTACTCAGATCACTTTTTCTAATAAAAGAATGCCATGAGAAAATGGCTCTGCATTCACCAGGCCACCCCTCAAACCAAATTCTTCTGTAATGAAAAAGATTAAGACTATATATTAACAATTTCATATACAAATAATCAACAGTTTTCTCTATAACTCTCTGATGTTGCATAAAGCCTGAAATATGGTGGCAAATTTTTCTATTTGCATCGTATCAGATTCTTATCTAGTGTGGACATTCTTACTGGGATAAAGACCAGATGAAGGTCTCTTGAAAGATTTGCCACATTTACTATATTCAAATGACCTTTCTTGGGTATGAACTCTTTGATGTTGAATGAGCACGGGATTGACTGAATCTCCTCACACATACACATTTATTACATTCATAGGTTTTCTGCATGGCATGAGTTTTGACACTGGACAATGTAGTTTGACTGATGGCTTTTTCACAATAATTTCAGTGATGGAATTTTATTCCAGTTTGAATTCTCCAATTATGACTAAGGTGTGAAAATAGCATGAATAATTTACCACATCAATACATTCACAGATTTTACTGGTAAAGGTCTTCAATAATCAATTTAAGAGTTTACTACTGATACCTTTCCTGTAACATTCAGAGGGTTTCTCTGTTGTGAATTCTGATGCTGAGTAAGGATTGAGCTGTGACTGAAGGCTTTATCACATTTAGTATACACATGATCTCTCCCTGATATGAACACTCAGATGTTGAATGAGGCATGAACGTGACCAAACGTCTTCTGATGTTCATTACATTCATCAGGTTTCTCTTTGGTATGGATTCTTTGATGTTGAACAAGGTGTGCTCTCTGACTGGAGTTTTTTTCCCATGCATCACAATCAAAAGCTTTTTCTCTGGTGAGGACCTCTTGTTGCAGGATAAGATCTGAGCTATGGCTGAAACTTTCCTCATAATCATTACATTCAGACGATTTCTCTTTCTTATGTATTTTGTGATGATCGATAAGGCATGAAGTTTGACTAAAAACTTTCCCACATTCATTACATTCATGTGGTTTCTCTCCTGTGTGAATTCTTTGATGCTGAATAAGATGTGAATTCAGTCTGAAGTCTTTTCCACATTTATTACATGTATAAGGCTTTTCTCTAAAACAAATTCCTTGATGTTTAATATAGGCCAATCCACATCCATCATACTCATAGGATTTCTCTTCACAGTGGACTCTCTGATGTTCAACTAGGTAAGAAGTTTGACAGAAGTCACTGCCACATTCAGTACACTTACAGGGCATCTCTTGGTGAATTCTCTGATGTTGAATAAGGTGTACATTACGACTAAAGACTCTCTCACAACTGCTACATTTGTAAGATTTGGCTCTAGTGCGAGTTTTCTTATGCTGAATTATGTCTGAGCTCTGACTACATGATTTACCAGATGCTTCACAGGACTTTTCAGATGTTTCACATTTATATGGTTTTTCTCTAGTGTGTATTCTTTTATGTCTACTAAGACTTGAGCTCTGACTGAAAGATTTTTCACACTCTTTACACTTGTAGGGTTTTTCTCTAGTATGAATTCGCTGATGTCTAGTAAGGGCTGAGCTCTGGTGGAAGATTTTCCCACATACATCACATTTATAGGATTTCTCAGTGGTAGAAATGCTTTCCCATTTACTAACATGGGAGAGATCCAATAAGCTTTCCTTATAGTCATTATTCTGAAAATTGTGTGTTAGGTTTATATGTTCATGTTTACCAGCAGCTGAATTCTGGTTGAAGTTCATGTTGTACTTATCACTGTCATCAACATTCTGTATTCTAAGAACCCTCTGATCTGTATCAAGGGTAGGATCCAGACCAATGCCTTTTTCAGGTTCATTACATTCGTTGTTCTTGTCACTGGTGAAGGTTTTCTTGCTGATTGTTATTTGCCTAAACTCTCTCTCCAGGAAGAGAAATTTCCTTAGGATTTCCTGAAGCTTTTCTAATCTGTCCTCAGACTTACATACTTCTCTAGTCTCAGGAACTTGGGCAATATCCTGTTTGAGTCTTCCTACTCTCACTTTGTACGAGTGTGCTTCTTCCAAAATGTTCTGCTTAGGAATCAACAGCTTGTTCTCTTCTCTGGTCTCTCCATCTGATACAATATATAAATAGAAAATGCAAATGTAATCTGTACCCTGGGCTTAGAAAAAGAAAACTCAACAGAAAATTCAATGAAGTAGTATCTACAAGGATAAGAGAAGTACATTAAATCTGAAAAACAGCTACAAAAATCTTAACAGCAGATTTAAGGACATGAATAGGAGTAGTACGGTGGACTGTAAAGGATACAGGGTATAGCAGAAATAGAGTACATATTCTACTAAGGTGATAATCAGTTAAGGTGTTTCAAAGCAGATAATATAGAAACAGTTCAAAAGAATTTTAGATAAGCAACTTGAATAGTACAACCTGTGCATAAGGAATTAAATGGAAAGGGTCAACCTAAGCTAAACGAAAGGGTAGGAGTTCCCTGTACTAAGACACAGAGCTCTTCATTTTGAGTGTCAAAGCAGCTATAACTTGGCTCAACAACTGAACTTTACTTTCCTACTAATTGTATCTGATTAATTCTACCTTACTTGAATAGTATAACCTGTGCATAAGGAATTAAATAAATGGAAAGGGTCAACCTAAGCTAAACGAAAGGGTAGGAGTTCCCTGTACTAAGACACAGAGCTCTTCATTTTGAGTGTCAAAGCAGCTATAACTTGGCTCAACAACTGAACTTTACTTTCCTACTAATTGTATCTGATTAATTCTACCTTACTCACCTGAGCAGTCATCTTTTAAGCCTTCTCTATTCTTAGTTTCCAGATCAAAGACCTGCAGATCTCGCTCCAGCTGGGAAAATCCATCAGACTTGGAAATTGGAAATCCTGCTCAGAGAAGGAAATGGGATGTGGCAATTTATCCCCAGATGCTACACCAGCCACCTTTTATTTTAACTAATGGTTAAGAGAGAAGGTAAGTTCTGAGAAGGCATTAATTAGAAAGACCTGAAGAGTGAAGCAAACAAATTTCTATGAGAAGCTCAGACTTGTGCTCTAGACAGAGGTGTGTTACGGAGAAAGTTGATGACTTGGGAGAAGTATTCATTTAAACATTTTCCAGACAAGGGAATCTGGGCATGTTATGTGTACTTGTCTTCATGGAAATTATCATTACTAGTCTCCATCTGTTGCCTAAAGATCAATCTTTGTATTAGACTTGGTCTACAAGTACCAAAATTAAAGTCAAAATACAATTTTGCTGCACTGGAGAAAGGAGAAACCCAAGTACCTACTGCGTGGTAAGCTAAACTGTAGCAACAGAATCAGTGAAGACTGGATAAATATTCCAATGACCAATATCAAGAAAAGATTAGTTTCAGTGTGCATGAGGAAACAAAGAATAATAATGACATATTCTCACTCATGAGGAGCTTACACTCATGTTTATTCAACTAACATTTACAGAGTGCCTCCTATATGCAAAGTTTGCAGGGGATAAGGAACCCAAGCAAAAGGTCCATGCCCTCAAGGTTCTAATTTTCTAACTGCAAAGACAGTTACAAATAACTCACTACAATATGGTATAGTGAGGAAAGTACAATAAAAATGCATTTTTGCATAAAAAGATTTTTCTATGGCTTATGTAATGGACTGCTAGGATCTAAATGTCTTTGAAAGCAAAAGCAACAGGCAGGCAGTTTCTGAGGGGCCAGACCTTTGATATTAGTATAGGAGGTAGTTTTTCTTTTTTTGCTACAGGGCATGTGCATTCACCAGAGACGGAATTGGGGGTGGGGTGGGGTAGGGATGAAAAAGCACCCCTAAGGGAGATGTCCACATCACAATCCCTTCTCCTCCACTCTCTTCTCATGACTTTGAGCAGGCAGATACACACTGATGCTCGTTGTGTTTTTCAAGCTGCTAGGTCTAGAACTCTAATTGCGTGGTTGGCTACATGCGATAAGCCATCTTAGGTCTAGAACTCTAACTGCGTGGTTGGCCACATGCGATAACCCATCTTAGTCACCACACCATTGGATGACCCGAGATAGTTTTCATATGTATGTTCAGTACAGAAAGCTTCTGGTAGTACACAGACAAATCTAACTCAAGTTCTCATCTCCAAAAATCTTTCTCTCCATTTGCTTAATGTCTACAAAATTTGTTATTTTTTTCCTCTTATTTTGACATGTTACTTAATAGTGACATTTACAGACTTAATTTTCTTTTTTTTTGGGAGAGATTTTCACTATAGGGCGCGTGCGCTCGCCAGACAGAGAGAGACACAGAGACAGAAAGCGAGAAATCACCCCACAGGGGGGATGGTCACGCCGCAATCCCTTCTCCTCCATTCTCCTCTCTGGATCTTGGGCACACACGCACACGCGCCCGGCGTGAGTTTTAAGCCACCAGGTCCGGGACGCGAACCGTGGTCGACTACGTGGGAGTCCAGCGACATAGCCATTACGCTAACTGCTGGTTCCCTTAATTTTCTTTTTTCAGGTATTATAATTTCTATCTGACTTATAAACTCTTTCATAGCAGGAATCATGCATCTTAAATCTTGCACTTCTTTTGATTCATTTACTTAACAGCTATTTATCAACCACCAACTTTGTGCCCGAGTGTCAACATATTCATAACTACCCAATTTTATAAAAAGGGCAATGGACATGGAAAATACAGTGAACCAATAGCCATCCCCTTGAAATCCTATGTGAAAGATTATGAGCAAGGACTTCAGAACAGATATAAGAAAGGCATTAAATACTGTGTTTAAAAATTCCTGTGAGTGTTAATAGAGTCACCTCTCCTTTTGGACACTTACTTAAGGCTCTCCAATTCAAATGAAATCGTTTTGTTAAGTTTTGTTAAGTATAGCATGAAGTAGCAAATATGTTTGAAATTCTAACACAGTTTGCAACTTTTAACTTTGAGTGAGTTATCTTTTTTATCTATCCAGGTTTTGGCCATAGGGTACCTGTGCTCACCACAGACAGACAGAGACGGTAAGTGAGAAATCATCCCCCGGGAGGATGGTCACACCACAATCCCTTCTCTTCCATTCTCCTCTCAGGATTTTGGGCACATGTGTGCCCCACGTAATTTTCAAGTCACTATGTCCAGGGCTCAAGCCGCACTCAGCCATGTAGGAATGCAGCACCTTAAACACCATGGCACCTGCTGACCCATGAAATATTTATTAAAGTATTTCTCAGTATTTGAAAATTAAAATAAAATTTGGTTATTTACTCTAAAGCTACACTTAAAACACCATCTGCAAAACAAAAGAGGTTGTCTTTATGTGGGGTAAGAGTTTGATTTGATTTGTGTTTACAGGAATATTAGAAGGTGTAAGGAAAAATGCCTGGCAGGCAGTTAGCGTATACCACTATAGTTTAGAAGAGAACAGAGTTTAAGATATAGACTTAAAGTCACCTGAACTGGGGCCAGCAGATGGCATGGTGGTTAAGGCACTGGACTCCCACAAGGCTGACTGCAGTTCAAGTCCTGGGCCTGGTAGCCTGGAAAAGTGGGCATGTGTGGATGCGTTCCCAAAATCCCAAGAGGAGAATGGAAAAGAAGGGATTGAGGCATGGCTATTTCTTGGCGGGAGGGGGGTGATTTCTCACCTTCTCTCTCTGTCTCTCTTTGGTGAGTGCACATACCCTGTGGCAAAAACCTAAAAACAAAACAAGACAAAGTCACCTGTATCATCAGTATCATAAACAATATTAAGGTTCACTAAGCACTCAGTAGGTGCAAAGTATAATGCTGAGAACTTTACAAATTTCTAATCATTTAGTTCTCACAGTAACTTCATGAAATAGGAAGTATTGTTGTACTCATTTTACAAATGGGAATATTAAGGTTGAGACAAGTTAAGTAACTTGTCCAAGATCACAATATTGGTAAAACTAGGATTAGAACTCAGTCTTTCTTTCTTTCTTTTTTATTTTTTTAGAGGTTTTCACTATATGGCGCATGCGCTCGCCAGACAGACAGAGAGAAAGAAAGCGAGAAATCACCCCCCAGGGGAGATGGTCACGCCGCAATCCCTTCTCCTCCATTCTCTTCTCGGGATCTTGGGCACGCAAGCACACGCGCCCGGCGTGAGTTCTAAGCCACCGGTCTGGGACGCGAACCGCGGTCGACTACGTGGGAATCCAGTGACATAGCCATTATGCTAACTGCTGGTTCCCTAGAACTCAGTCTTATTTCAGAATCTGAATTTTGGACAATCTACTAGTAAAAAATAATGACTGTGATGAAATCTATCCCTTCTTCCAAAACACATCCAAAAAAAGAGCAGCAGACAAACCTATTTATAATTGAATAAAAGGTAAAAGTGATAAAAATGACAGAGAAAAAGTGATTAGAATAATACATAGACAGGACCAGGAGATGACATTATGATTATGTCGCTAGACTCCCACATGGCCGATCATGGTTCAAGTCTCGGACCTGGAGGCTTGAAATTCATATCATTAGCATATAGACAATCCATTAAAAATATTTAAAAACACAATATGTAGTTGGACTAGTTATCGTCTATACTCAAATACAGAAACTTCTTGACTTAAGATAGGGTTAAGTCCATACGAACCCATCGTTAGTTGAAAATACTGTAACTCAAAAATGCATTTACTACACCTAACTTACCAAACATTACAGTGCAGCCGAGCCTACCCTAAACATGCTCAGAACTGAGCTACAATTAGTAAACACTAGTCTACAATTGGGCAAAATCATCTAACACAAAGACTAATAGTGTTGAATATCTCGTGTAATTTATTGAGTATTTGTAAAATATTTGCAAGTGAGAAACAAAATGGTTGTATGTATACTTGCAATATGGTTTGTACTGAATGCCTATCACGTTCACACCACTGTACAGTTGAAAAATCCTAAGAAGAACCATTGTTAAGTCAGGGACCGTGTATAGAGCATGGGCTTCAGAGACGGATCTGGGTCCCAAGCTTACCACTGACTCCACTTAATTTTTCCAAGCCTCAGTTTCCTCAGATATAAAATAGGAGTATCATTATCTGTTCACAGGATTATGGTAAGGATTACATGAGCTATTATACACTATAGCATCTAGTAACACATTGGCTGCTTAGCAAATAGAAATAGCTAGGATAGCAGAAAACATTCTGTGCAAAATCACAACTGTCCACCACAACATCATATTCAAAAAGCAAGGGGTATATGCCAAACATTCCCAATCTATCAGCCCGCCGTGAGTTCTAAGCCACCGGTCTGGGACGCGAACCGCGGTCGACTACGTGGGAATCCAGTGACATAGCCATTATGCTAACTGCTGGTTCCCTAGAACTCAGTCTTATTTCAGAATCTGAATTTTGGACAATCTACTAGTAAAAAATAATGACTGTGATGAAATCTATCCCTTCTTCCAAAACACATCCAAAAAAAGAGCAGCAGACAAACCTATTTATAATTGAATAAAAGGTAAAAGTGATAAAAATGACAGAGAAAAAGTGATTAGAATAATACATAGACAGGACCAGGAGATGACATTATGATTATGTCGCTAGACTCCCACATGGCCGATCATGGTTCAAGTCTCGGACCTGGAGGCTTGAAATTCATATCATTAGCATATAGACAATCCATTAAAAATATTTAAAAACACAATATGTAGTTGGACTAGTTATCGTCTATACTCAAATACAGAAACTTCTTGACTTAAGATAGGGTTAAGTCCATACGAACCCATCGTTAGTTGAAAATACTGTAACTCAAAAATGCATTTACTACACCTAACTTACCAAACATTACAGTGCAGCCGAGCCTACCCTAAACATGCTCAGAACTGAGCTACAATTAGTAAACACTAGTCTACAATTGGGCAAAATCATCTAACACAAAGACTAATAGTGTTGAATATCTCGTGTAATTTATTGAGTATTTGTAAAATATTTGCAAGTGAGAAACAAAATGGTTGTATGTATACTTGCAATATGGTTTGTACTGAATGCCTATCACGTTCACACCACTGTACAGTTGAAAAATCCTAAGAAGAACCATTGTTAAGTCAGGGACCGTGTATAGAGCATGGGCTTCAGAGACGGATCTGGGTCCCAAGCTTACCACTGACTCCACTTAATTTTTCCAAGCCTCAGTTTCCTCAGATATAAAATAGGAGTATCATTATCTGTTCACAGGATTATGGTAAGGATTACATGAGCTATTATACACTATAGCATCTAGTAACACATTGGCTGCTTAGCAAATAGAAATAGCTAGGATAGCAGAAAACATTCTGTGCAAAATCACAACTGTCCACCACAACATCATATTCAAAAAGCAAGGGGTATATGCCAAACATTCCCAATCTATCACCTCATTTAACCAGGATATTGTAAGCATCTTTCTAATGCTATCATCTAATAGGGCACCTGCCACATTGACCCATGTAAAATGTTACCCAGCCCCCTTTCTTAATTCTTTTATTTTTCTTAACCCTTTTTTCCTTCTATTTTTCTTAATCTCTGGCACTAAGTCACAGGCAATTTCCCTGAAGTCAGTTACTTATTTATCATCAATAGAATGTTTCTTTTTCAATTTGGAAATGAAAATGATCTATTTTTTACTCAGTTCTATACTGTGTATTTACTACTATATAATAGAAGCACTCGGGACCAGCAGTTAGCGTAATGGCTATGTCGCTGGACTCCCACGTAGTCAACCGTGGTTCGCATCCTGGACCCGGTGGCTTAAAACTCACACCGGGCGCGTGTGCGTGCATGGCCAAGATCCCCAGAGGAGAATGGAGGAGAAGGAATTATGGCGTGGCCATTCCCCCTGGGGGGTGATTTCTCACTTTCTGTCTCTCTGTCTCTGTCTGTCTGGCAAGCGCACACGTCCTATAGAGAAAACCTCTTTAAATAAATAAATAAATAAATAAAAAGAAGCACTTAACCAAAAGACAAATGTTTGGATGTCTATTACAAATACAATCCAAAGCTAATGCCATCAGAAAAAGATGTGAACTGTAAAGGGGGACGGCTAAGTCAGAGACTGAGTTATAAAGCCCTTATTCTACAATCCCAAATGGTACATTGTTAATAAATATATAAAAAAATAAGAAAAAGCCTTCCTAAAGATCATAAAAATAAATAACTGCTAAGGAGATACTGCTGTCACAAAACTAGATTGAGTAGCAGGGTTTCTCATACACATGTGTGCAAGGTTATGTGTGTGTGTAGAAATGACAGGGGAAATGGGATAAAATTCAGTCAAACAGCATGCTGTGTGCTATTAAACTGCTACAAAGTTTCTTTACTCCAAAAAGTAGACAGGTTAAACTGTTGGAAATTCTGTAATTATTAGGTAAAATCAACAGCAGTTTACAATTATATACATCAGTTTATAGGTTACATATTTACTAAATATACATTCATGTTGGTGCCCTGAAATTAATAATAAACTCTTTTGACCTCCCATTTCCCCTCCATCAAGGACAGAGCTAAGGAATACTTAATCAGGAAAGGTAATATAAATGCATCAATGTGTATAGCACTGTGAAGAATAAAGGGGAGGAAAGTAGGGCCTGGAAGAGGGATATATGGACTTCAAGGAAAGAGAAATTAGAATGTTAAACATGAGGATAGCCCATGGGTCATAGGAAAGCTAAGTAACATCAGGGCCGGTCATGTTCACTGCAAAAAAGCAGGGGGACACAGCACACAGTCCACATTCTAAGCAATACGAAAAGACCGTAACAAAGGAGCTGAAGCTGAACTGTGTGGTTTCTTTGAACACAAGTAAATGGTCATCAACCATGGTTTCTGAATGATCCAGGTTCAAAATGCATTTGGTTGCAACGGAGGGCTTCCTTGGCTCTTTATATTATAAATTTAACAAATGTCATTTGAGGAGCTGCAATTTTACATAGTGGTAACATCCTGAGGAGCAACTATTCCATCAATCAAGTTTAGTATCTTACAATCGTGGAAAAGGAGTTTCCGAGCAGGGACGAGCAATTTCGATGGGTAGCCGATACTTGGGCCATCTCTTGGAGATTACTGCTGTAAGGACTGCAAGTGTTTCTCCAGAGAAAGCACTTGCCTGGGTATGACTCAGGGCCGGGCAGGAATTCACACTATGAATCCGGGTGGTAGGAAGGCGGAGAAGTATGCCTACAAAGATCAAAGAGCCAGGAATGGAAAACACACTAAAAACCTTCCCAGTGGGCAGGCTGCTTCCCCACAGATAAGACAACCTCTTGAATCCTGAGTGAAATCAAAGAAACAAAGCAATACCCTGGATGCCACAAGCACAGACACAGTTATTTGTCTTTAAAAAAAAAAAAAAAGTGGGAGGGAGGAAAAGTACCATTAAATATATTCATATATATATAAAGAATGGAGAGATAGGCTAAAAAAAAAAAAGAGAGAGAGAGAAAGAAATAATATACCAAGGAGGTTGCCAACAACCCCTCTGATGTTTCTCAACAGAACTACAGGTTTTCTAATTCCAACTGCCAACTGTACCATTCAAAATGACAAAGGAGAGAGAGGGTATAAGAAATTACCCCACCTCAATGTATAATAAATGTCTGAGACTTCTACTGCCCTGGGTGTGGTTATATGGGATTATTACCCTTGTTCTCATAGTGAGGCTGCCTTTAAATGAAATCTCTCAAATTCTGCCTGCTTAGAGATGAATCTGCAAATCTTAAGGGGTGAAGGATTACTCAACAAGGACTTGAGCCTATCTTTAAAAAGATATTTCTTCTTCCTAGGAAAATGGGAAACTCTCAGACACAGAGGCACTGATATACCAGGGAGGTGTCTGGTAAGGGGTTGAGAGGTCACCCTGGAGACTCTCTTATGAAAAAGATATAGAAGGTAAGAACTAAGGCAAAGCACAAGCAAGTTTCCCCTTGCTAACAGGAAACAGATGCTCCATAAAAGCAGGAAACACAAACTGAGGATCAGGAGGAGAATGTCCTCTCTTGACACCCCAAAAGGAACCTTAATTACCCCTTCCAGAGGAGATGACCTTAAAGATAAAGGATCTGAAGGTTCTAAGACCTGGAATCTGACCCACACTCTAATGACCTTCTCAGAGACCTTACACCTACTCAGAAACAAGGGAGAAATCCAAACAGATAAATTAAATAATAAGGAAGACAGTCCTTACCCAGTGAGACCACGTTCCCATAATTCTCTAACATCACTTCTCTGTAGAGGTCCCTCTGAACAGAGTCCAGGCATCCCCATTCCTCTCGAGTAAGGTGTACAGCCACATCCTCGAATGTCACAAACTCCTGAAATAACATATCCTGGCTCTTCTGGGGAATGAGGCCACTATAGTGCCATGGCCAGAGAATGAAGGTGATGATAGAGAGGGTATCCAGTGTGTATTTGTGTGGGGAAGAAGGGAAAACAGATTAGGACCTTAAATCCTATAGCCTTTAAAGCTCTAATAAATGCCCATCACAGTACCATGGACAAAGAAGGAACAGTGTGCGCTCATGGTGTGGGGGAGGTGGGAAGGTGCTTTGTGTTAAGTCCAAGTCTCTGAAGAGGATCAGTGCCCAAAATCGGGTCTGCTATTAGGAAAAAAAAATTCCAGGCAAAGTTTATGGATGGGATGAGGGAGAGGCCACACTTAATCAGCAGCAAAGGTCCCTGAGGAAAAGCGGAAGGTTCCTCAGCTCACCTGGTACCTGGCTGTCAGGAGCGCAGCTGCCTGGTTTCCTGGGCTTCCCTCGTGGGGAAGAGCAGGCACCTGGGAAACAGATGGAGCTGAGGAGGAGAAAGGAGCCAAGAGTGAGAGCAGCCCCTCTCCAGGGCTTCCTTTCAGAAAAGGCCTCTTCAGCCCAAGGGCTGTCAGCAGGACCCTCCTTCACATCAATATTCTAGTAAAACTATTGGACATTAATCAAATATTGGGTGTGTCCACACTACTTCTTCTCGGTACTTGCAATGCCGTCCTTACACGTGTTTAGACCTGTGACGCAGGATTTTATTATGAAATTCTTTATTTCATTTTATCCTTGTGACATAACATTCTTCTTGCAGAAGGGTAAGCACTATACCTGTTTTGCAGATGGGCAAAGCAAAGCATACAGACTTGTAGTGACTTGTCCAGGCCAGGGTTATTTACCAGACTTCTAACCATCTCTCAGCCTGTTCTGCAAACTTCACTAAGCCTTTAGCAAATGGGCACTGTCTCTGGAACTAGTGTGTAAGACGCCCAAGAACAAGGAACGGTCAAGCTTCCTCCTTTCCGCACTCCCACAATGTCCCACAACACTCTACACACTGTGGCACTCCACCTGCATTACTGATACACAAGTCGTTTCAGGCACTGAAGTTGGCCATAAGCAACCCAAGACACAGTTCTTACAAAACTAGCAAAAATAAAGACAGACCATCCTATCTATACAATACATAAAAATGTGATTTATAGTCAATACGTATTATGTATATACAAGCATGTGCTCAACCAAAGAATTAAATGGTTGCTTTCTTCTCCAAAATTAAGATTAGTCACAAACACTGCAGTTTCAACAGACTAGCAGGTGGCAGAGCTCACAAAGTCATCAAGAAGAGAGAAACTAAGTAAAGGGAACAGGGGGAGGGAAAGGTCCTGAACCTAAGAGGAAGTGAGAGTCAGGCAAGGATTGTGAGATATGGCTAAAGCAGACTATCTTAGCCATTAAGGTTTGCTGAGGAAATACTGCCAAAGTAGACGGAGTGACCACTATTTTACCAATTAAAGACAAGCTGTCCTTAATAAAGGGATCAAGAACGGGGCTAAACTGAATCACATATGCCCCTCCCTTCCAATTCCCACTTTAAGGGCATTCTAATTTCAAGCTCCTACCCTTTCTTATCCCAGGTTCTGGAGCCCCTTCAGGAATCACTTTACACTCCCATTCTCCTGGATATTAAGTACTGCCTCTGCCTTACCCCCAGTCAGTCCCTGTTCCATGTCGGTGTCCTGCAGGAACTGAGGCTCTAGGGACAAACCCTCAGACGGGGTCTCCAAAGACTGAAACTGGACCCTTGGTGATCCTGCTACTTCCTGGGCCGGTATTTCTTCCATCCCTGTTCTGGAGGACAATGATCATCACTGTAGGGTGAGATTAGGAGAAATTATTGCAATAAGTTAAAGTATCCCATCATTTTATATCTTCAGAACTTAGCAAAGTATCTTATGCACTGTAGGTACTCAATTTTTAAAAAAGCAATCATTAATTATTAACTACCCAAAGAAAACAAGAGAAAGAAAAATGGGTACTACTCAGTTTCGAATACTTCAAAACTAAGTCATATGATCCAAATATGAAGGTTAATTTGAACTCCACTAATTAATTTGTGATACTAAAAAAAGAAAGTCAACACAATACTATTCAATGGTGTAGTTTTCTAGTGGAAAGTTCAAAATATTTGAAACAACATTGTTCTCTGGCTTAAGTCTGTTACCAGAGAAATTTAGTAATTATGATTACTTACTATTGTTTTTAAAGCATACTCTTTAGGAATTAATCAGTAACTCTGTCAGCTCCGCTTTTAATTACTAAATGGGCTTGACTAGTAATAAAATCCCACTTTTGGGTTTGGCCCCTTTGCTAACTCAGACTGGGGGAGCAGGCCTTTTCCCAGAACCCTAATAACACAGGGAGGTGCAATTCAAACAGGTTTGACCGGCGTCCTTCAAAGGCAAGGACGTGCCTGGGTTCCCGTCCTCCTTCCTCAGCCCTCACCCGGCTCCTAGCAGGGTGCTCTGAAGGCCTAGCCCAGCGCAGCTCTCTCAGACTGGAGGAGCAGGCCTTTTCCCAGAACCCTAAGAATAACACAGGGAGGTGCAATTCAAACAGGTTTGACCGGCGTCCTTCAAAGGCAAGGACGTGCCTGGGTTCCCGTCCTCCTTCCTCAGCCCTCACCCGGCTCCTAGCAGGGTGCTCTGAAGGCCTAGCCCAGCGCAGCTCTCCTCCCACTTCCCTTTCTGACCAAAGCACGGCCCCAAAAAGGCGAGGCGGGCCATACAGACCCAGCTCACACTACGGCACCGTCAGTGGGTCCTCAGTCGGCGGGACGTCCAGGCAAAGCCGGACTGAAGAGAAACAGGACCGCGCACCCGGACCTCCGCGCGCTCCAGGGAACTGGAACCGCCCTCTGCCAGGCCCGACGCCTCTTCCTCCTCCCGGGGAGGCGAAACCTGAAGCCACCCCATCGCCAGCCCAGAAAGGCTTCCGGGGGACTCACCCAGCCCAGGGGCGGGCCTGGACGCTGTCTGGTTGCGGACTCACTCTCTCCCAGGCCGCCTCTGCCTTTCCGGGGCCGCTCTAGACTGCCCGGAAGCAGGCGCTTCTCTGTGGCACCTCCGGAAGCTGATGACGGGCCCGGGATGAGGGCCCCGGATGAAGGCCCCGGATGGGGGTCCAGGTTCGGTCCCGCGGGCCGTGGTAAGGAGGCTCGGTGACGTGGGTGTTACACGTCATTCTCCGGTTCCACCGCCCTCCCTGCTAACCTGCTGGTCGCCTGTGGCCATTATACCAGTAATAGTAATACGCGGCAAGCTTTGGGGACGCTCCAGCCAACTTTTGAGGGTCCCCGCAGGGCCGTGGCGGAGCCCAGGGATGGCGGAGTGAGGAAGAGTGGCCGCCCTGATGGTCCGACAGCTCTGAGTTAGCTGCTCTGGAACTGGCACGAGGATGCCTGCACAGAATACAAAATAACACTATTAGAAGACTGGGGTTGGGGAACCAGCAGTTAGCGTAATGGCTATGTCGCTGGACTCCCACGTAGTCGACCGCGGTTCGTGTCCCGGGCCGGGTGGCTTAAAACTCACGCCGGGTGCCCAAGATCCCTAGAGGAGAATGGAGGAGAAGGGATTGGGGCGTGGCCATCCCCCCTGAGGGGTGATTTCTCGCTTTCTGTCTCTATGTCTCTCTGTCTGGCGAGCGCACGCGCCCTATAGCGAAAATCTCTAAAAAAAAAAAAAAAAAGACCAGGGTTGCCGACGTCCCAGTGATATGAGGACACAAAATTGTGGGATCAGAAGCCCTACTAAAGTTCTGGGAAAAGCACGGGTGGAGTGGGTGGCATTGAGCACATCGGAATGGGAGAGAGACTGAAGCACTGAGACTGGAAGACAGCTGTGCTCCTAATGGAAAGACTGAACTGTAGAAGCGGGATAGGTAAAATAATAGTGTACAGGGCAGGGCCGGCAGAGTGCTGGCACAGGAGCCTTTAGGTCATTGTGAGTCCCCTCGCATTCCTTGTTCCTTGGAGAATGTGATGATTTGGGGCGAAAGCCCCCAAATCCCAGCAAGCTCCTTTTTTTAGTTTTCCTTTTTTGTATAGACTGACAAATTAATTACAAAATTTTAATGTTAAAGATTTACAATTGCCAAAACAATTTTGAAGAATAAAGTTGGAGTACATACGTGATTTTAAGATTTATTGCAAGCCAGGCCGTGACCTGGACGTGAGCTGCAATGGTCGACTGTGTGGTTTGAGTCCTAGACTGCGTGGCTTGATAAACACCAGGTGTATGTATGTGCATGCCCAAAAATCCCAAAAAGAGAGAGAGATGGAGAAGGGACTGTGGCATGACCATTTCCCATGGGGGGGGAGGGGCAGAGGTGGTCACTTTCTCTGTCTCTCATGAACACACATGCACTCTGGCAGATTTAAAAATGAAAAAAAATATTTATTTTTGAGAGGATTTTGCATGTGTGCTCATCGGAGAAAGAAAACGAGAAATTGCCCCCCAGTGGAGATGGCCAACAGCAATCTCTTCTCCAGTCTCCTCTCAGGATTTTTGGCACACATATGAGCCTGGCATGAGTTTAAAGCTGCTGGGTTTGGGTTTCGACCCACAGTCAACTACGGGGGAGTCCAGCATACCATTAACCCATCTGATTTCTCATTATCTGTTCCTCTGTCTCCCTGGCGAGTGCATGTGCCCTATAGCAAAAATCTCTCAGGGGGTACCTCACGCCAAGTGTGTGTGTGTCCACTTGCGCATGTGCCCCAGATGCTGGGAAAATGGGGAAGGGATTGCAACATCACCATCCCCCTAGAGGGTGAGTCTCACTTTCTCTGTCTCTGTCTTTCTTTCCAGTGAGCACATGTGTCCTAAGGCAAAAACCTCTTAAAAAAATTTAAATAAAGCTACAGTTGTCAAAGCAGTATGGTATTGGCATACAGATAGACAAACAGATCAATGGAGCAGAATTATAGAGTTCAGAAATAGACCTAAAGTACACATTAGTTCATTTTTTTAGAGTTTTTTGTCTTAGGGCACATGTGCAAGCAAGGGGGTGGGGGGTAAGACAGAGACAGTGAGAGGAAAAGAGAAATCACCCCCCGGGGTATGGCCACCCTGCAATCTCTTCCCCTCCATTCTCCTCCCAGGGTGGGTGGCTGACATGCACTTTTTGTTTTTCTTTGAAGAATTACTTTATTTAATTTTATTTATTTATTTATTTATTTATTTTAATTTGACCAAAGAGGGACAGAATGAGAGAGAGAAAGGGAAAGTGAGAAAGCAAGCCGCCAGGTCCAGAACTTGAACCGCGGTCGGACACGTTCGGCCATGTGGGAGTTCAGTGACATAACCACTACACCATCTACTGGCCCCATGCATTAGCTAATTTTTTATGTTACTAAGGTTGTTCTGCTACGAAGCAGGCTGAGCTGAAAATTGGGCCCAGGATCTGTTTATAATAATGGCAATAATGCACAGGAGACCAATTATAAAGACACCACCCAAAAGTAAAGGACAAGTTATTTCACCTTGCATCTCTAATCCCAAAGACAGTGCAGTGTTTAGTGGACATCGGGATTTTGGAGGCAGCAATTACTGTGTTTTGGAAAACTTTCAGACCCTGTATCAAGTGACCTAAAAGGCTTCCACCTTTTAGTGGAACTCAGAGCAAAAGAGGGCTCTATAGTAAGTCCAGGTGATGGTGCAGAAGTATGTCTGCTGGATATAGATGCCGTGCAAAAATATCTGGCAAGCTCCAACAGGAGAGTGTATTAGTTTACTAGGGCTGCTGAAACAAAGTACCATCAAGTGGGTGACTTAAACCATGGAAGTTTACCAGCTCACAGTTCTGGAGACCAGAAATCAGAAATTAAGGTGTAGCTCCTTGTGAGAGCTATTGAGAAAGAATCTGTTCATTTCTCTCCCCCAGCTTCTGGTGGTTTGCTGGCTATCTTTGGCATTCCTTGGCTTTGTATTAGCATCACTCCAACCTTTTTATTTTTTTTTCCCCAAGAGATTTTTGCTATAGGGCACGTGCACTTGCCAGAGAGACAGAAAGCAAGAAATCACCCCCCAGAGAGGAAGATCATGCCGCAACCCCTTCTCTTCCATTCTCCTCTGGAGATTTTGGGCATGTACACACATACACACACTGCATGAGTTTCAAGCCACTGGGTCCAGTACTAAAACCATGGTCAGCCATGTGGGAATCCAGTGACATAATCGTTATCTCATTTGCTGGTCCCACATCATCCCAATCTTTATCTTCATCTTTACTCGGTGTTCTCCATCATCATTATTCAGATTTCTTTTTATAAGGAAACCAGTTATATTGGATTAGCAGCCCATCTACTCCAACATGACTTCATCTTAAATGATTACTTCTACATCCATCCTATTCCCAACTAAGATCACAATTTGAGGTACCAGCAGTTAGCGTAATGGCTATGTCGCTGGACTCCCATGTAGTCAACCACGGTTCGAGTTCCAGACCCAGTGACTTAAAAACTCACGCTGGGCACGTGTGCGTGTGTGCCCAAGATCCTGAGAGGAGAATAGAGGAGAAGGGATTGGGGCGTGGCCACCCCCCTGGGGGGTGATTTCTTGCTTTCTGTCTCTCTGTCTTTCTCTGCCTTTCTGGAGAGCACACATGCCCTATAGCAAAAACCTCTCCGGAAAAAAAAAAAATCACAATTTGAGATATTGGGGGCTAGCTCTCAACATTTAGATGCAGGGCACAGCTTAACAGAATCACAACACTAATACCTAAGGTTCAAGAGCAAAGACCTACCTTCCAAGGCAAAAAAAAAAGAAAGAAAGAAAGAAACAGCTTCATCTGAAGAAGAGGCTTTAGGAGCCAGCATTTGATGTGGTTGAGGCACTGAACTCCCACATAGCTGAATGTGGTTCAGGGCATGGATCTGGTGATTTGCTTTCTCACTTTCCCTTTGTCTCTCTGGTCAAATTAAAAATGAATAAAATTAAATAATTTTTTTTTTTTAAAAAAAGAGGCTCTAGGACTGGCAGATGGCATGGTGGTTGAAGCACTGGACTCCCACACCGCTAACCGTGGTTCAAGCCCCAGACTTGGCAGTTTGCTTTGTCACTTTCCCTCTCTTTCTCTGAGTCTCTCTCTGGTCAAATTAAATAAAATAATTATTTTTTTAAAAGAGGTTCTAGTTTGCTAATGCGTTCCATAAAGGCTAAGAATTTGACCTTGGGGGACCAGCAGGTGGAGAGGTGGTTAAGGGTACTGGACTCCCACATGGCCAACTGTAGTTTGAGTCCTGGACCTGGCTGCTTGCTTTCTCACTTTCCCTCTCCCTCTCTCCCTCTGTCCCTCTCTGGTCAAATTAAAATAAATAAATAAAGTGATGAATAAAGTAATAAAGTTAAATAAAATAATTATTAAAAAAAAAAAGATTTTGACCCTGGACTGTTCATAACAATTCCACCTCAGCTGTTTATCATGATGGTTCCAGAAGTATGTCTGGTGGATGAGCTGTGAGTTTTGTTTTGTTTTAATTTGCCAGAAGGCACATGTACTTGCCAGAGAGACAGAGAGGAAGAAAGTACCCCTCACACACCACAGTGGGGCATGGTCACACCACAAGCTCTTCATTTCTCCAAGCTGTTTGAATTTTGTCATACATATATGCACACACAAGTGTTTGGTGTATTTTTCAAGCTGCTAGGTGATAAAGGAGCAAAGACACACTCAGCTGAATTATCGAAAAGAGTCATGGGGAGGTAGAAAACAATTAATCAAAGCTTAGAATGTAATTCAGGATACCAGCAAGTCATTAGTAGGCTCTATAACAGGTGTCTGTTCCTTTTATGGACTTTTCCCATTACTGGGCTCCACTACACACTTATCTTAGAATTTTTTTTAAGAAAGATGTTTGCTAAAAGGCTCATGCACTCACTGGAGAGCTAAGAGGGAGATAGAGAGACAGAAAGTAAGAAGTCACCCCCTGAAGGAATGACCACTCCTCAATTCCTTCTCCTCCATTCTCCTCTCAGGATCTTGGGCATGCACATACGTGCACCTGGCATATGTTAAGCTGCTGGCCCAGACTCAAACCACGGTGGACTATGTGGGAGTCCAACAATATAAACATTACACCATCTGCAGATCCCAATAAATAATTCTTTTTTTGGGGGAGAGATTTTCGCTATAGGGCGCGTGCGCTCACCAGACAGACAGAGAGAGACATAGAGACAGAAAGCGAGAAATTACCCCCCAGGGGGGATGGTCACTCCGCAATCCCTTCTCCTCCATTCTCCTCTCGGGATCTTGGGCACGTATGCACACGCACCCGGTGTGAGTTTGAAGCCACCGGGTCCGGGAC